AGCTGACCTTCATCTCCCTCCCCTAAACCCCCTCTACCCCTCTCCCTCCTGTCCCTCCCCCCCAATACCCCCCTTATCCCCTATAATAACCTCACCTCCTTCCTCATACATCCCCTACCCTTAGCTACTCCCCCAATCACACAACCACTTCTCCCCCCCCCCAACCTCCCCCCAACCTCCCCACAACCTCCCCTTCCTCCCTTAGCCATTCCCCTTTCCCCCCCCAAGCTTCCCTCCCCCCCTCCCCCCCTCCCCCCTCCCCCCTTTCTCCCCCTACCGCTCAATTTACCGAGTCCGACGGGAATGCCCCAATGTCCAGCCAATAATTAGTCTGTCAACGGACGGTTCGCTTTCGTCGGGGATCAATCGGCCTCTTCGCTTTCCGCTTCGATAAACCTTTTTGCGGTCGAGAAGGGGAAGGAGGGGGTGGGGGAGGGAGGGAAAGGGGAGGGGGGTAGGGAGGGAGGGAAAGGGGAGAGGGAGAGGGAGGGAGGGAAAGGGGAGGGGGAGAGGGAGTGGGGAGGGAAAGGGGAAGGGGTGGAGCTAGGGAAGGGGGAGATGGAGGAGGATGGGGAGGGATGGGAGAGTGGTAGGAGGGGGGTGAGGAGGGAAGGGGAAGAGGGAGGAAGTGAGATAGGGAGGGAAGAGGGAGTGGGAGGTGGAGAAAGGGAGGGAAGAGAGGGAGGAGAGTGAAGAGGGGATGGGAAGAAATGGGGAAGGAAAGGGACAGGAAGGGGGAATGAAGAGAGGGGAGGGGAAATTTAGGGAGAGAAGGGGAAATATGACTTAGTGCGAGTAAAGAAGGAGGGAAAAAGGAAAATGAGATATATAAGGAAAAAAGGGGGCGAGGGAGAGGAATAATGAAGGAATAGGAACTGCTACAAACAAAAAAATAAGCAAAGGAGGAAAGGAAGGAGGGAGACAGAGAGAAAATGGTGGGGAAAAGGGAACGCGGATAAACGGGGAGAGAGAAGGAAAGGGGGGAAAAAGAATGCTAAGAAAAGGGGAAAACCAAGGGAAGGAGAGAGCTAACGCAGAAATGGAAGAGGGGAAGGAAGAAATGAGAATCTAAATATAGAAAAAGAGGAACTGGAGAAGAGGCAAAAGAAGAGGAAAGCGAAAAAAAACAGGAGTAGGGAGAAGGGAAAAGGGGGGGGGGAAGGGGTTACACGCGTCTAGAAACACTTTGATCCCATGATGAGTATCCCGAAGGAGAACTCGATGGAAACCAGATCCTATTGTGGATGGAGATGGTTTTTGCCTTTTTCTTCTTCGTTTTCTTTCTCTTTCTGTTCTCTTTTTTTCGTTTTTTTTTTCTTTGTTTTATATATTTTCTTTTTCTTTTCTTTTATCTGTATATTTTTCTCTTTCTTCGTTTTTTTTTTATTTGTCTTTTATATATATTTTTTTTTCTTTTGACACTACCTCTTCTACTTTTCCTTTATTCCCTTCCAATCTTCCATTATTCACAACTTTCTTGCTTGTGTATTTCAACTAAAAATTGTTTCATTGGATTTGCGTAGAACATGTGACAGAAGATAACAGTAAGATCGATAATAATAATAAGATAGTAAAAATGCCAAAGCTAACAATATCATTAACAATAACAACCAAAAAAATGATAATGATAACAATATCAGTATTCATAACAACAACGATAAGAGTACTAATAAAAAATATTGATACAAATGGAAAATCAGTAAAACGAATAATATGAAAATAATAACAGTAACGTTGATGATGATAATTTTTGATAATAATAATGATAAAAACATCAATAAGAAGAAGAATAAATTATAATTATGGTTATAACAATAACGATTATCATAACAATGATAACAATAATAATAGTATTTATATTGGTAACACTACTATTAATAAAAATGATAACAGTCATTCTTATTATTATTATCATAATTATTATAAATTATATATTATAATTGTTACCATTGTCATTTTTGTTGTTATTATTATTCTCATAGTTGTTATAATCATTATCATCATCATTATTTTTCTTGTCTGAGGCAAGTACTGTACCCTGCACTGAAGTAGTTAGACCGTCAGTTTGTGCACATTTAATATTCATACGACTATATAAGGGGGGGGGGGGTAAGAAGGAGGTAGGAGTGGAAGGGGAAAGGAAGGAGGAGAAGGAGAAAGAGAAAGGAAGAGGGAGAAGGAGAAAGAGAAGGGAAGGGAGAGGAGGAGAAAGAGAAGGGAAGGGAGAGAAGGAGAAAGAGAAGGGAAGGGAGAGGAGGAGAAAGAGAAGAGAAGGGAGAGAAGGAGAAAGGGAAGTGGACTTAAAGCGAAAAGGGAGATGGGGAAAGCGAAAACGGAGAGAGAAGGAGAAAGGGAAGTGGACTTAAAGCGAAAAGGGAGATGGGGAAAGCGAAACGGATAGGACTCAGGATGGGACTTAAAGAGGAAAATGGCCTGAGTAAGAGGAAGAGAGAGGGAACGCTGAGAAAAAAAAGGGAGATGGAAAGGGAGAGTAGGAAATAAGGGAGCGAAATAGATGGAGAAACGTATGAAAGAAGAGGTGGGAAGTGGAAGGGAGCAGATACGGGGCTTAAATTGGGAGGGAAGGAATGAACTTAAGGAAGATTCAGTGTGAGAGAGAGTGGCAGAGCGGAAAAGGGAAAAGGAAATGACGAGGCGAGGCGAAAGGTACATGGATAAGGGTGAAAGAGGGAGAGAGGAGAACTTTTCTTTGTGTGTGTGTGTGTAATGCAATAATAATAATAATAATAATAACAATAATAATAATAATAATAATAATAATAATAATAATAATAATAATGATAACAATAATGATAATAATAACAATAATGGTGAAGATGTAATGGTGAAGAACAAGAAGAAGAAGAAGAAGAAGACGACGAAGATGATAAGGATGAGGATAATGATGATGATAACGATAATAATGATAATGATAATGATAACAGTGTTAATGACAATGATAATGATAATAATAATGATATAACGTTGATACAATAATAATAATAATAATAATGAAGATGACAATACCAAATGCTGTTACTATGATTATGATTATAATTCTAGTAATAACAATGATGATGACAAAGAGAAGAAAGACAAAAAGTAATAATACTGATGACAAAAAAGGAAGAAAAGAAAATGATGATGATGATGAAAAATGTAGAAAGAAGAGCAAGAACAAGACGACAAGAAAGAAGAATATAGTAGTAGTAACAATGATGATGACACAAAGAAGATAAATAAGAAATAATAACAAGGAGGAGGGAAAGGAGGGGAAAAAATGAGGAAAAATGCAGAAAGAAGAACAAGAGCGAGGAAAAGAAGGAAAAAAAAAAGAATAATAGCACTAAAACACCCAGAGGATTTACTAAACGAAATAAACCAACAGGAAAAACAAACAAAAATACAATAGATCTTGACGACGAAAATAAGAGTCTAAGAAAGAAAGGAAACGGAGTAATTCTTTTAAATGAGACGAGGCATCCCTAGTCGCGGGAACTAATAAGGGACACAACATAGACGCCATGTTGTTAGCTGTGCGTTTTTTTTTTTTTTTTTTTTTTTTTTTTTTTTTTTTTTTTTTTTTTTTTTTTTTTTTTTTTTAGTTCTGATGATAATGGTGTTTTTTCTTTATCATTACTACTTTACAGCTGTCTTTTCTTTTCATTTTTTGTCTGTCAATATGTCTCTCTTTTTTTGGTCAGTCAATATGTCTCTCTGTCTCTTTTTTTATTTCAGTGTCTCAGACGTATGTGTGTATGTGTATGTGTGTATGTGTATGTGGAATTCATGTCGAACAAATTGCAGGTAGAGCAATGAAGGGAACTACAGGAAAATACACGAATATGCCAATTCGTGTGTTTTCTTGTGTGTGTGTGTGTGTGTGTGTGTGTGTGTGTGTGTGTGTGTGTGTGTGTGTGTGTGTGTGTGTGTGTGTGTATGTGTGTGTATGTGTGTGTGTGTGTGTGTGTGTGTGTGTGTGTGTGTGTGTGTGTGTGTGTGTATGTGTGTGTGTGTGTATGTGTGTGTGTGTGTGTGTGTGTGTGTGTGTGTGTGTGTGTGTGTGTGTGTGTGTGTGTGTCGGTCTATATACGCGTATGTGTATTTCTGACGGAATTACATCACATCGGGTTATTCCTTAATGGAGGAACCTAAGCTCCCATAATTCTTCGAAAGTTAAAAACCGACAGTAAAAAGGAAAAAAAAAGAAAAAAAAATCAAGAGCAGCGAAATCCCCAGCAAAGGCGGTGTAACCCTTCGGATCCCTGGCCATAAGAGATCAGACACCATGAAATTAACTGTAGTAATACTTTGCCTTTATTCCCATATCTATAATAACTTTCTGTCTTTAGTTTATGTCCCTCGTCTTTCTAATCATACAGTGTGTTATCCATGTCTATTGATCTACAGTATTTGGCTTTCCTTTTTTTATATGGATGTGTTGGGGGGGGGTGCGTGCGTGTGTGTGTTTGAGTGTGTGCGTGCGTGAGTACGCACGCACATAAAATTAATAACCCATATTTCGCTTTTACTTTCTAACATAAACAACACCAATGGCTTAATCCTATCAATTTTCTAGTTTACGGAAAAAGAAACGTTTAATGTCCTCTCATCGATTTCATTTTTCTATTTCACATTCAGTTTTGTTTTCTGCCGTCTATAAATTTGATCAATGTATATGCTGCTATAGCTTTTCTTTAGCTAATGAAGTACCAAAATACAAATATTCATTTTTTAAAATGGATGCATCTAAATGAATGAACATCCAAACAAATCGATAAATAAAAAATACAAATACATAAACACATACATATACTTCATGCACTTACAACCCTATTCTCCGTTTCTCACCTACCTGTGCCTACCCCTCGTCCTTAACACAATTAAAATAAAACCCAAACCACGAAACGAAACACCTACTAAGACAACAATAAATAAACAAAATAATTAATTAATAAACAAATAGATCATTAAAAAATCAAACCCATCAATCAACTTACCTTGAATGTTGAGAACGAGCCAGGTACAAAGAGCTCCCCAGTGGAGGTAGTTGTTGGCAAA